CTGGGAAAATGACTGTCTCTGTCTGCTGAATTTATGACTTGGGAATTATAATGCTGACCTCACCTAATCTCTATGTGAATTACATGAGATAAGGAATGTAAAAACACCTGGCACAGAGCGGGCACTGCTTTCCCCATGCATTTCCTCCCCTTTCTGTGCATTTTCCTAAGTGCAGTACGGCTGACTTAGTTACTATGGCTCAAGGTTTTCATTCTGATAAACACAGAACAAAATCTAATGTATAGGGAAATAAGATATGTACATAAAACAATTACACTCGGCTCTTTCTTCTCATGTTAAAACCATTTGAATTTCTGAAAGAAGAACTAGGACTATTTAGGATCATTGTTAAGGTCTTCATGGCCTGGCTAATAGTTATAGTAATTATCATTATTATTACAACCATAAGAACAAGGCTACTTAAAATAGGGATCTCTGTTCAACCTTAGTTAGAAAGGCCATGAAAGGCTCACAAATGCTATAGATTTTGTATTTATTTATAGTTATTTGTCTAATATGTTTGCAGCCATTTATGGTTATTGGACAAGGATATACAATGGCCATCAGCAGCAGGGTTCTGTGAGCAGCTCCAATCTGCCCTGCCTCTCTGCAGCTATTTAGCTGAAATTAATCCAGGTCCCATTATTGTCCTTAGTGATTTTTAAAAAATCAGATAATTAAAATCAGTTTCAATTTCCCCTTGTTCAGAAAATTCAAAGTTGCCAATGTGCTTTTTAAAAAGAAGATGTATTTGTGCAGCAGGTAAAGTTCTTCTATATTCAGAAGCCAAATAGGATCAAGTCTGGACCCTAACACTTCTCCATGGCCATGGCTTTGCCCCTTAATGTTTTTGCTTGGCTACCTATGAGGATCAAAAAAGATAATAAATGTGAAAGCACCTTATAAACTGTAAAGCACCATGTAAATACAAGTAACATACAGTGTCAAGTATAATAAGGCAAAATAATATTCTTAAAAAATCCCGAGCAATTCTTGAAATTGCAGTAGGCAAAATATGTATATTCTAAGGCTCAAATTTTGTTTGAAATTTATCTGAATATCTAAGCTATTTTTGAAAAGCTAGTCTTGTTTTCATAAGTACTTTCGTGTCAGTTTATTAATCTGACATAAAACCCAAGAATTCCTCCACATCATTTGTCTTTGTCTCTCCCTTTTCAGATAGGTCCACAGCTTACACTTAAGAACTATGAGTGCTAGGATCAAACGTGTACTTACTGAATCCGAAACAGCTACATGAATAAAACTTTCGAGAATGGAAGAACTTAGCTGATCCATGACATCAAGCATAGGCTTGTCGTCGTCCTGTATGAAGAGAGGCAATTACTCTCCATGGGAAAATGAATCCTCCCCACCCGCGTCACTGCCTTTGTCTAGCACGCGAGGTCAAACAGCTTGCAAGACTCAGATAAGGGTTTTCTCACAGGAACGTGAGTGCCAAGACGGTGAGAGGTAGTGGCTAAACTCCTCTCATTCCGGGTTTAGTCTTTCAAGGGTCAGTGGGAGATCATTAGATTCCACTTTCACATGCATCTGAGTTTCAAAAACTGAAAAGACATGTACCTGAATTTCAAAAACTCACACACATACACAAGAATCTAAACACCAGGACCAAACATGATTCACTCAAGTGTTCATGTTGTCATGAATTTTAGAGAACAGAAACCCTCCAAGAACATGCTTTGCCAGACCACTATGCTGCTACTTACTTAAGTCACCTATCTGCTAAAATGACTGATCAATAGTTGACTGTGACTGAATTTTAGGCCCAAAGAAACTTCACTCTAAATGGCCAATGTGGTATCTATGTGGTACACAGCTGTTTGGTAAAAGCAAATGGGGGAGAGTGTGAGAGAGAATCTTATTGGAAATTCTTCTTTTTACATGAATAGAGCACATATATGTATATATATGATTCTGTGTATCTTTGACATCCTTTATTATAGAGAAGCTCAGAAATATGAAATTATTTACTTAGAAACCTTACAGGGAAGCTTCAGAATGTCTTTATTCATGGATGAATGAGAATGGTTTTTAAAACATTGTGGCTGGAAACAAAACACGTAGCTCACAGACACAGAGAACAGATCGGTGGCTGCAGAAATGGGGAGCAGGTGAAATAGGTGAAGCGAATGAAAATGTATAACCCTCCAGTTATAAAATAAATAAGTCCTAGGGATGTAATGAACAGCATGGTGACTATAATTAATAATACCGTGCTGCCTATTTGAAAGTTGCTAAGAGAGCATAAGATCTTAAAAGTTCTCATTACAAGGAAAAAAATATCTAACTATGCATGGTGACAGATGTTAACTTATTGAGGCGATCATTTTGCAGTAAACAAATATCTAGTCATTATATTGTACACCTGAAACTAATATACTGTTGTACATCAACTATGCCTTAATAGAAAATATACCCCTACCCACCTAAAAAAATTGTGGCTGCAAAAGAAAGCGATATGGAAAATGTCCTTAGCATGGCCTGCTGGAACAGTATGAGGAACTTGTGGAGCTTTAGGAGCATGTACATCTGGCTTTCAGTTCTGGCTCCGTCATATCCTAGCTGTTGATTTGGGCTGAGGTATTTAACCCCTTAAAGCCTCCATTTCAGTATCTGTACAATGAGGGTAATAACAGCACTAATTCTTAGGTTATTGTGAGGGTTCAATGAGATAATGTGCATAGAGCACAGTACAGTGCCCGGTACAATCCATGGTAAGTCACAGAGACTTAATAGAGGTTTACCAAAATAGAGCATGCCTTTGAAATCCATTTACCAGATTCTAGGGATGTCCTAAAATACATCAGAGAGCTATCTGAAGAAATGTGAACAGAGAGGACTGGGATAACTTTGACAGTACTTTGCAAAGACAATGACCATTTTGAGAATCATTTAAAACAAGAAATGATTTAAAACAAGAAATCAATGCTGTATTTTTCTAAAGAAGTATGTGACATAAAAAGCTGGTCTTTCATTGGTTCACACACAGGGCTTGGCCCCCTGTGCCAGCAGGCAATGAGTCTTAACATTTGAACAAGGGTGTGCAGCACGTGACCAAGTGTGGGAGGTTAGCTGGAGTCAGTTGGCTTAATAATGCTCCATGTGGCTCACATCTGTTTCAAGGGAACATTTTTCCACCATTATCAAAATTAAACAACTTTCAGTTAGCCAGACTCTTTGGTACTTTGTCATTTGAAATGAGATGCATTATTTTCTCAAATTCATTCCCTAATATAAATGCAGTGATGTCTTCTTAATTCAGTGTATGCCAAACATTATGAAGGAAAATCATTTGTAAACTAGTCTTAAAATCTTTCACTTCTTAACAAAGCACCATCTCTTAGAGAATCAGAAATGGTCTTTTCTATTGTTCTTGGAATATATAACATACCTTGTGGGTCAAGAGTGCTATTTCATCATTAAAAACTCATCCTGAATAAAAAATTATTTGTTGACATCACGTGTGATGTGAAACCACATAAAATAGTAATGAATTATTTATAGTTTTAAATCCAAACTTCAAAACTGTTGAAAGAAATAAGTGGGAAAATTCAGAGGGCAATCCATACCTCAGGTTGACCCAGGGCAACAAATAAAGCTCGAATTTCCTTCAGAATTAAAACAGACAGTTTGCGTGTAGCCACCTGGAAACTGCACAGCAGCACCAGTGCAAAGCCTTCTGAGGCATGGAGTGCACTGCAGTGGGAACCCCGCTCAGAAGGAATTCTGTGGCTGGAGCCATTTGGAATTAGCTGTCATGCAATAAGAACATTCTATATTCAGAAAAATAACAATGGAAGAAGAAACTACTCCTATGCACACATCTTTTGACATGTTTGACCTTGTAACATTCAAATAAATCACAATGGCTTAGATGGAGAGGTGTCTATGAATTCACTATTATTCATGCAATATCATAGATTCCCTTTCTGTTTTCAGATCTGTCGTTACTTCGGACTTCCATCCAACATCTGTTACCTCTGATAAGCAATAGCTTTTCAAAGGCTATTAATATTAATCATCCATACCATTTGAGAGACTTGGGAGTATGCTATATATTCAGAGTGGCCTAATTGTTTTCTACTTGAATTCTCTGTTGACTTTTGGATACTACTAAATTGAATTTTCAAACATTTACTTTCTGATCACATTGGCTTACTTGCTTTTGTGTTCGATTCTAATCTAGATTTTGTGTATCTAAGGTCGGTTTTGCATGAGCTGCATTCTGAAATTTCCCAAACCACAACCACTGAGCCTAAAATGAAAGGAAGCCAGATGACAGGGTGGATTCCACCTTCACTCCCCTTGTCCTTTCAGAAGCTTCTGGAATCCCTGGTTCCCTGGCTTTCACCTTTCCACATGCACAGAACACAGGGAAGGAGGCCTGACCTGAACCTCATCTGTGAGATCAGCCCATCACGGACCTGCGCTGTGCCTAAGTGCTGCCATCCTGCCCTTCAGCCTCTGTGTTCCTCAGACTCCCCCTTACACTCTTCTCTAGCCAGACCCCTTCCTCCACCTGCTCACTGCCAATGTCAAGTCACCACAGCCCCTGGTTCTCCTCTGACAACACTGCCTCAACTGGCTCTTCAAAAACTGTTACCATTGGTTTTTACCATTCAGGTTTGGGCATGAAAGAATACAGGGACCACGAGACTGTATTTTCTTCTCTGTGGATATGGGATAAAGCAACCAAGGTTGCTGACTAGGGAAATAAACTGGTGGACAGCTGACTTTTATATATCTACATTCACATCCTGGCCTACAATCATGTGCTTTCAGATTTATAATCATAATTCTCTGAAGAAAACAATTTCTGCTCCCTCAAAGGTCTTGTAAATATTATCAAATCTAACCTGATGTGGCATACCATGCCCTGAGCTTCTTAGTCACAATTTATCTGATGGAAGAATTAAGGGCCACCCCTGGGGAGATAGTTCCTCAATGGCTGGAAGTAAGAACTCCAGAGGTTCTCCGGGCTGCAACTTACATACACACGTACTATGTGAAAGAAAATAAATTGGTGGGAAGAGTGGGGAAATCACCTCTGAATTCCTGATTTTGTTCACTTGTTCATAGACTTTTCCTTGAGTTTGTATGACCAATTTCCACTGGGTGAGGAGCTGGAGCAGTAACTTAAGGGATGAATCGAGGAGCGTGTGATGCATGTCATTCACTTCCCGGAGTAGGAAGTTGGTGAAGCCAAACAGCACGTCTTCCCTCCCTCCAGTCCGAGAAGTCAACAAGCAAACCCTGCAGAGAATTTTGTCCAATATGTGGCAGTTCATCATCCATATGAATGGAGAGCCTGTGAAAGGAATAAAAGACAATAAGATCATTTACTACATGAACTCTTCTAGATGCATCAAGGAACATATTTGGTCTCTGCTTTTGCTGCTGTTTGAAAAGTGGGCCACCCTCCTGTAGATTCTCCACTCAGCTTCCCTAATGTTAACGTCTTATGTAACCATGATACATTCACCCAAACTAAGAAATTAACATCAGTGCAATGCTATTAACTAAACTACAGATTTTATTCAGATTTCACCAGTTTTCCACTAGTGTCTTTCTTCTGTTTCATGGGATTTAGCTGTACATGCATACTTCTTAATACATTATTGGCTACAGAATAAATTAGTACCAAACCTTACCACTTTTAAGGATGAGAAACCTGAGTCCTGGAGAAACCAAGGGACTCATCCAGAAGTTCAATGAAAATGAGCAATTAGTTAGGTCAGTGGTCTACAATCGGTTTTATAACCACCACCAGGAGATACTCAGTAAGGTCTAGAGGGACATGTTATTGACTGTCACAACTTGGAGAGCGTTGGTGGCATCTATCTCACAGACAGAGGCCAAGAGGCTGCTGGGCACCACCCTATAATGCACAGGGCAACTCCCAACCACAAAGAATTATCTGGCACCTAATACTGGTAGTATCTAGGTTGAGAAATTCAGAGTTAGCCAACTGAAGAATGTCAGTGTATTAGTGGCTTAGCCCAGAATAAGCATACTGATATTAAATCTCGACACTGGTATGGCGCATTGCTTAACATAATACTTTCTATATTCTTTTGTTTATTTCATAAACGAATATTTTTGAGCCCCTCCTAGGACTCAGTGGCTGCACCCACTGCACAGAGCCCTGAACATTTGGAGCTCGGTATGGCTGTAACTCCTGGGCAGGAGGCTTCAAGAGCATGTGGTGAGACGGTGCTGGAGGCAGAGTGGAAGCCGTGAGGACTGTGGGTCACCCAGGGGATGACACAGAAGGGAAGGGGTGAGGTGTGCGTGCTCGGGAGGCAGAATGCCTGCCTCTGGGTCTTGCCTCTGTCACTTACTAGCTGTGTGACCTTGTGCTAGTTGCTTAATCTCTGAACCTCAGCGCCTCACTTGGAAAATGCGGGTAATAACTGTCCCTGTATCTCATAAACCCATCGTGAGGTTCATGGAGGTGATCTTGTATGGTGTTAGCACCAGGCACATAGGAGGCACTCAGTAAATGTTAGCAATTGTTATCAGGGAAAATGAACTGTATCCTGGAAGTTATAGAGGAAGTAACATGAGTACTTTCACATCTGAGAAGAAAAAAAAGGGCAAAGAAGCGGAAGATGCCTTGAAGGAGCATCAAGATTGAGGGCAGAGACCAGCTGGGTGGTGCCTGCAATGACTCAGGCGACAAGAGATGGGGGCCTGACCCAGTATGGGAGGGAGAGACATTTAGGAGATAGAACTCCCAGGACTCAGCAGCCTGGAGGTGTTCAGGATCAAAGTAAGGGGGCTGAGCCAATGCGGGCCTCCCCACACAGGGCAGATATGATCTCCAACTCAGAGAAGAACAAAGTGTGGCCCAGAATGGCTGTGGAACTTCAAAGTCCAGGATTCCACAGGATTCCAACCCAGGACTTCTGGTCCTTAAACCAAAGTTTCCTCCACAAAACAAGTCTGGTATAATTAGACGTTTTGAATAGATTGTATTTCAAGAAGTTGATAAGCTAATACCTTTCTTATTCTTTAAAGCATAAAGTACACTAATTGGTCCAAATTTGACAACATAAACCAGGCAAAAGCTCATTAATAAGTAGACATATACCAAGTCAGGGAAGATGTATTTCCTGTTCTAAAAGCAAATACAGTTCTCCAAAGATGCTGAAAAGTAAGACTGAAGCTAACTCTTCAGGGAAGAGTTACTTCCTTAAGTTTACAGTTCTTAAAATCACAGCTGCTGAAGGAAAACGTAGAGGCCTTTAACCTGGGCTTCTGGTTAACGACTGAGGCAGGAATTTACAAACTCTCTTTGTTTTTCAATCAGTAGCTCCTTTTTTTCCAAAAAAATTTATGTTGAGCGCTCATATATGATACATAAAACCTGAGTGCTCTGGGTGAAGCTGGGGGCAGGGCCTGAAGTGTGCCTATTCGGGAAGAAACGTTCCAGCATTCTGAGCAGTTTATTGAGAATGCTAGTTTACAACAAGCTCTTGAAGTCATTTTCCCATCTTGAGTGTATTATTCCTATTTACTACATTGGTACCAGTGTATGGTCCTGGATGTCACAGAGAGGGAGCTTCTGCAGACGACAACCCACCTTCTTAGGACAGGAATGACAGGCACTCAATAAACATTACCTGAGGGTAACAATGCTGGTCATTGTTACAGGCTGAATTGTGTTCACCCCAAATTCATACACTGAAATCCAAAGCCCAGGGCCTCAGAATGTGACATTATTTGGAAATAGGGTCATTGCAGATGCAATCAGCTAAGTTAGCATGAGGTCATGGTCCAGAAGGGTGGATCCTAAATCCAATATGACTGGTGTCCTTATAAGGAGAAAGTTGGAGACAGACATGCACACAGGGAGAACCCACATGGAGATGGAGATAGAGATTAGGGTCATGTTTCTGCAAGCCAAATAAGATCAAAGACTGCCAGAAACCACCAGAAGCTGGGAGAGTGGCATGGGATAGGCTCATGGCCCTCGGAAGGAAGTAACCTTGCTCACACTTTGATCTTGGACTTCTAGCCACCAGAACTGTGTGATAATACATTTCTATGAAGTCACCCAGTTTGTGGTAGTTTATTCTGGTGGCCCTAGGAGGTTAATACAGTCATAAAACGAGGCAAGCACCTATTTTTAGAGTCAAAGTAAAAGCCACGTCAAAATAAGAGTTTCATGCATTTAGATGAAACTTTTAAGGGCCAATATTTGTAGATGTCCAAGTCAGATTAATTCTACGCTTCACTGAACATAGCTCTCCTTCACAATATGAGTTCCAGAAACTGTTTTAACTTTAAAGCCACAACACAGGGTCATGTTAAGGACCCCGACAGTCCGCAGGTGGCACAGCGCTTGCAGTTTCGGGTGGCCCCTCCTCTGGAAATGGTGGTGATCACGTTTAGCCAGTGAAAACGTTCAAAAATATTCCTGGGACCTCGGCACAAAGAGAGGGGAAGGGGCTTCAGGACTAGAAAGCCCAGCTGACAGTAAGGGTGGAATGTCTGTGGAAGAAAGAAGTCCAGACCATCAGGGAAATGAGAGAGCAGGCACAGGGCGCCCAGGCAGGTCTGTGCAGTGGCCGGGGAGGGGGCCAGGCCGGGGGAAAGGCAGGGGATCCTCCCTGTGTTTGCTGCTGGACGAATGTGACTGGGGAGCTACCTGCCTCTCAGATACAGCTGCCATTTCTTCCACCCAGATCTTTCTCATTTTTGTTATTAGATTTTAACCAGATATTCACAGATTATCTTATGAAACACATGAGACTTGGTATTATAAAATAGGAAACAGGAAAAAATGTAGCTACTAAAAAGAAAGAGAAGATGGAGTTAAATGAGAAAGATACCCAGTCACCTGTGTATGTACAGGAAAGCAGGGTGGTACTGGCCAACATACATGCAGGTCCTCACCTAGAGAGCACAGAGTGGAGGTGAGGGGTCCCCAGGCCCCTGCCGGGCCATCAGACAGAGACACCTGACTAAGAAAGGAAGGACAGGTTCTTGCCTGTGAAATACCCAACTGCAATTAAATAAAAAACTTCTCTGTGGGAGTGCTTGGTGGCAGTTAGTTGAAAGGAATAGAGACTTTAAGAGAATGCAGTCTGACTAGCTGCAGGAACAAGGTGAAATTTCTAAGAAGCTCATCTGGTTTCCAGGAGCCTAAAATGGGTCAGAGGTATGTGGTTACACACAAACCAAACCACAATAAAACATGCCAAAAGAAACCAGTATTGCCAGCATCAGCGCAGCTGTCCGTCCGAGGTAGGTGACAGGCGGAGCACGGATTGGCCGGCCTGACCACTGCGACTCTTGCCCGGGCTGGACCAGCTGGTGCAAATGGGCCTGGAAGCCCCGGTCTGCAGGGGATCTAGAGCTGGTGGCTGGTGGGATGGGAAGCACGTGGGGAGACTGTGGTGCTGTGTCTGCATTACCCGGTAAATGTCCACAAATTTTAAGGAAACACTAGGTGAAATGTGTTCATCTGTCATTTTGCACAGAACCAATGGCATCTGTCACTTCCACTTGGATTCAGGAAAGTTTGATAAATTCGGGCAACTGACTTTACTCTTTTGAAGTTCAATCTCCTTGTCTGAAAATAGGAATGAATATGCGCCCAGCTTTCGTCACATAGTGTGTATGAAAATGCATTGTACACCAAGGCACTATGGCATTCAAATGTAAAGATGCCTAAAAATAACAACTAACATTTGCCGAAAGCTTACTGTGTTCTAGGCACTATGCAAAGTGATTTAATATGCATTATTCAATGCTCACAACCCTATGACAAACTGTTGAAAGGGGAGGGTGCATATTGAACCTTCAGTGCATTTATAGTGCTGCAGGAAGCAGCAGAGGACAGGAGTCTGTAGACCATTGGGAAAAAGGTCCTTCCCGTGTTTGAGGGGTAGGACGGGAAACACCTGGATGGCAGGGAGAGAAAAACCATGGTGGCTGCCAAGGAGAGAAGCCAGCACCATTCCTCCGTGGAGAATCCCTGGGGGATCCAGGCAGCTGGGAAGGCAGGCTCTGCTGAGGGCGGGAAGGAAGTGCCCCACAGGGATCTTACCATCATGTCAGGAAGGCCTGAGAAGCTTCCATGGGGCATTGGTGGAAAGATTCCTCACACTCAGCCATTATGAGTGGGCTGAGCAATACACCTAAAACCAGAAGCACAGTCGCTGGAGAAAGGGGTGAGCCAGTTTCCCTCCATCCACCACTGTCGTGCTGAGCGCACTGGTGTCAGTCTGAGCTGCAGTGATGTAGCCGTTACCTGAGGTGCTGGGGAAGGGGTCTGGCGCAGTCAGAGGGGACAGATCCTTGAAATGCCTTCTCCGGGGAATGGAGTTGGGAGGCACAGGGCTAGGAAAACGGCAATGCAGGGATGCAAAATTCAGGATTTCCAAACGATTCAGTTTCCTTTGCAGTTTTTGTACCTTCTCCAAACCTCTTCACAGGTTCCCATATAAGTCCAGTCATATTTTCTTGAATTTGCCCTAGGACTTGAACTCTCAAGAATATTTATTTGCTCTTTTCCCTCATAAAAACAGTACCCACTGCTTTGAGCTTTGAAGAATGTACATAATAATAAACACGATGCGCTATAAATAGCAGTGACATTCCAGCCACGTCTAGTGGAATTCCCTCTGACATGCCTGCCCCGTGGTCTGCAGACTCAGGCGCCACCGGATTAGGCCATCGAGGTGATTCCAGAGGTAAGAGTCTCCCACACAGATTGGGAGCAAAGCCGCCTTAGAGACTTTATCAGAACACTGCATGACATTTAAAAAAAACTTACTACTTCAAAGGCCTTAGTGTGCATAACCATCACCAGTTAGAACTTGACTGAAATAATTGGACCTATCTTTCCACCTTAAGGAAAGTAACTATCTTTCACCTGCTGGCACATTTTCCCTTGGAGGATCCGAAGTGCATGCCTTACCATTTAGCGCCTAGCCATCTTATGAGATAGGCGCTATTATTCCATTTTACCAAGCGAAACAGATAGGCAGTGGGTTAAATAATGTGCCTAGGTCACAGGGCTAGGAAAGTGGCAAAGCAGGGATGCAAAATTCAGGATTTCCAAACCATTCAGTTTTCTTTGCGGTTTTTGTACCTTCTCCAAATCTCTCAGATGGTGGCTTCACTTTCTCTGGTGGCTCCCAGGCCACGGAGAAGGGTCTTCTGCTCTCCAGTTTCCACCACCACACCCAGCCTTGTCACTCAGCAATCCCGCCCCTACATGGAAATACTTGTCTGCTACTTGTATCTCCGTCCATGGCACACAGACAGGCTGCTCTGGGTAATTCAGCACATGGTAACTTTTTTTTTATGGTTGCCTTTTATTTTGTGCAACAAGATCTATGATAACAAGTTATCAATATAAGTATCATGGTGCCTTTTCTTTATTCTCAGTCTGTGCCGTCATTCTGGGAGGCTCAGTATTAGTGTGGGTGACCCTGCATAGTATCTTGGTTCCTTCACTGCTCAGCTTCCCTCACCCCCAAACCACCTCATCATTATCTGGGAATCCTTTAGATCGTCTCTCCCAGAACTGAAAGCTCCTTTCCGACCCAGGCTTATTTTTTCCTTTTTCCCACTGTTTCCCTACTTCCAATGAATGTGCTCTGCTCACGTTCAGTTGCTAGGGCTCAGCAAAAGCCTAGGTTGTCATTTTTTAAAACTTTATATTCCCTTAGAGTATGTCCTAAACATGGAATGGAAGGAAGGACCTGTGACCTAGACTTTGCCGATTTAGCACAGAGCAGGTGACAGCAGGTGACTGAAGCCAGCCAGGAGGGCACAGCCTTTGGTCAGAGCACCAAGGCTTGACACAGCAGTTTCCAGAGAAACATGCCCTCGGGCAACTTCACAATCCAGCCTCATCCTCGTGCTGGTGGTGACTGAAGTAGCAAAGGCCTGCCTGTGTTGGCACCAGGACTGAGGAGGAACCGGCGAGGACCAGAGGCTGTGAAAGCTATCAGTTGCCAGCAGGGAAGGGATCAGCATTGGAGTCCAAACTGGCTGCCCGGAGTAGAGAGCCCCATGGCCACAATCCCCGCGGTTCTCCGTGGGGACATGCAGGAGGCGTGGCTGCCTGAAGTAATCTGCAGCCACCTGGGATGGGGCTTGGGGTTATTTCATTTGGATATTGCTGGAAAGGGCGCTCTCAAGGGCCAGCGATCGTAGGTAAGCCAGGTTACACATGACGCATCTTTCATTCAGTCAGCACTAATATTTGTTATCCTTCTCTGAGCTTTCCTCTATTCCATCATTATCAGATTAACTAGCCTAAAATGACTTTTCTTTTTTAATCATGTAATCCTCCGGCTTAAAAACTCCATTAGTCCAAATGCCTCAGCTATAGTAAACATTAGCTGAAAATCCACCTCTCGTCTTTTTTTCTGTTTATCATTGGGTTTCTAAACTCCTTTTCTTTTTTTCTCAAATCAAGGGTGATGTTGCTCTTCCTCATTCATGTCCTCTGTGCTTCCCATGATTCTGCATCCCACATGGCATTTAGGTAATAAGTCACATTTGATTTTTAAATGAAAGACATGCATTAACTGTCACAGAACTTCAGATTAGCATGAGAAAAATTATGCTTACTTAACTGTAATGACATAATTTCACTCCAGGCAAATTAACTTTAGATTCTAGTTGGGCTGTACATTCTTAGGGAGGATGGGAAGGCTGAGAAACCTATGGTGGTTGGCAGCTTTCTGAAGTAGTAAAACTAGCTTAGGATTCCCATTACCCACCTTCTTGGCCCCCTGGGGTCTGGGGGCCTCAGCTTAGGAATCAGACCCTGAATAAACTCTTAAGGACAGACTCACCTCCTCCCCCTTTCAGCTCACATCTCTCCCTTCACCTTTCTGAATTCTATCTTTCCTTTAAAGGGCATTGAAGTTCCACCATCTCCCAGGAGTAACTTGCTGACTTCCACAGTCCACAGCAATCCCTCTACCCACTGAACTCACATAGCACACTTTTTGAGCTATTAATTTGCAGTTTCAGGCTTTATACTGTGAGGTACCTTATGTGCTTATGTATTTACTTCTCTAATGGATATTAAACCCTCTCAACATGGAGAAAACACATCAAAAAAATCTCCACATAGTACCTAGAATAATGCCTCATTTAGTAAATATTGATCAGTTTTTAATAATCCATCTATTTTTTTTCAAAGTAATACTGAAGGATTAATATCAATTTTGATCAGATAATGCCCACTGTCATGCTCACCTCCCTAGCCAGCAGGTCAATAAGTTCAAGTTTGGACATCCCATCAGGAAGCAGTCGAGGAATAGCAGCAACACAAGTCCTGAAAACATCTATTTTTGGCTTTCTCTCACCCCTAGAATTTGAAAACAAAGTTTTTCAATAAAACACAGGTCAAAGGTTATAAAAATTTAACAAAAAAATCAATCATCTATGTGAACAAAGACTAGAATCTGTGCCTCTTGAATCACTGCCTGGTGTTTGCTCCATTTTATTCTCAAATGTTTCTACCCTTTCTAGTTTGGCCATTTCTAAGAGAACCTGTAAAGATTTAATGTTAGACCGAGGGATATATCTATAAAGAAAAATGCTGATATCGACAGCATTGTACCAGATTGCTTGCCATTCAGTTGGATTCTTTGGGGTTTGTTCCCTGTGGCCTGCATTTAAAACACTGAAAAACACTGAATTCACTGAAACGTCTAAAGGAATCAGCACGTAAGGAATGCACTGCAGTCATTCCAACATTTAGCACTTAAAAATGGGATTTCAGTGCATATAAGTGAAGGTTTCCTCTCACAGCACAGTATCTGGAAGCTTCTCTCCCTGATGAGTTATGCTTCTCTAGAGCTCCCACCCTCCTTTTTTAAAAACATTAAGTGCTTCCAAAAATAAGTCTTTCATAATGTCAAGTAAAATCCTGAAATGATGTATTTGTGCACCCATTCCTGATTTTGTAGAACTATACTTTTGGGCCTGACTTCTATGGAGGTTCTTCCTCTCTTTTTACTTTCTTGAGAATATGAATGTTTAAAGATAATGAATGCCTCCTATATTCCGTTGTATAATGTAAAGGAAAAGTGTACATTTTGTGATAAATTATTTCAGTTTTTAATTGTTTGAATATGTAGGTGATTGTAACCACATATTTTGTCAATAACCTTTATGAAAAAACTAAACTACCCATCATTTTTCAAATAACCTAAGAGATCAAATATAATAGCATGTTGCCATTCTGATGATTTAATTTTCTAAGAATATAAAATTGGCACTAGTTAATGCAATCATAGGACACCAACACAATAATGAAAATGCAAAGTAGCATAGAAGTAATTCCTTTCTGGAACCGTAACTGTGGTGATTTGAAATGCAATGAAAAGAATACATTCCCTCTAGAATCTAAAGATGGTCAGACACCTTCCTGTCTGACAGCAAGTTTGCCCTGTGACATTACATTTCAGCATGCTTTTGTAAATTTGTTAGGCATGAATACAAAGTTATTGATGTGAAAGATAAAATGCATATATGTTGAATTCTGTAATACTGTGCTTTTATGGAAAGCCATATCATGATTTCTTCTCCTTTTCTATACTCCGTTTGCACGGGACGTATGAGGACTCCAGAGAAGAAGCCATTATGCCTGGTTTTCAATCAGCCCAAGGAAAGGGGAGTCTTGAAGTGATATTCTCAGTAGCTGAACAGAGTTAGAGCTAGTGATCTGTTCCTCTGCAACCCAGTGAGTCATTCAAACAGTTCTAGTGTGCTCACCAGATGTTTTAAACAGCCGGGATTATTTTCCTATCTGTCAAAAAACAGATGACCCTGCCTGGCCTGAAGCGTGAGGTGAATTCTGCAGGACCTGAAGGCTGATAAAGCCTAGATGAGGAACTCTAGTTGGGATGAAATTTCCTTTTACTCTCCAGACTGTTACAGGGAAGCATGTGAGCCCCCCCAAATAACCTAATTTTTACTAACAGATATTATTATTAAACTTTGCCAGCATGAACCACCAAAGGGATGGTGAATGGAAATGAAGCAATACAGAATGCCTCATGTTCAAGTTCATACCCCTGAGCAAGGCCTGCGGACGTGGTGCACCAATCTGGTCTATCAACTCCATTGACTGCTTCCTTTACTGTGGTGTGGACCTCAGTTCTCCCCTCCTAAATGTTTATATAATTCCCTAATGTTTCTCCCTGGTTTTTGAGAAATGTAGCGATTAGTTATTTTCCACGCAGGGATCTGCCTAAAAGCCTTGCATGTAAAATATCCGTATCCCAATGGGGGGGGAGGTGCAGGTCTGAAGATGGCTAAAGAAGAAAAAGTAAAGAACTGCCTTAGAAAAAGTTTAAGGTATTGGTTAAAATACTAATGAAATGTTTACATTATGTTTAAACCTGTTTCTTTTTATGACTTTGAATATATCATTTTGGTCCCAAACCCAACATACGATTTCTTGATTATACATATAGTTTTCCTTTCAAGGTCTTTCATTTCTTTACTATTTTTAGAGGAAACAACTATAGGGCAGAAGTTTTAAAAGCATTTCTTATATTTTCTACATTATAAATTGAATGTTGCTTTAATATATTCAAAGAGTATGTAATAATGATGTTATTGGACAGTTGGACAATTTGTGAGGTAAGAATTAGAGCTGTAGACAAATATATTTAATGTTTATTAACCTTGGTCAACTTCAGTTCTGCTGTCATTTTGATTGAAAAGTCTAAAGCAGCACATCATGATCTTCATATCATTTAAATCAAATAGTTCACACTCTGCAGGATAATATGCATTGTATAATCCTATTTTTGTAAAGAAAATGTATATACATATATTTATGTTGACACAGGGGAAGGTCTGGGAGGAATCACACTGGGCCAATGAATGGTTGCAGATTTCAAGGGAAGGAGGCTTTCATTTTAACTTCATATACTGTTAAGTATGTATTCAAAATAATTCTGTAGTTTTTGCTTGGCTTTACCTTGTTTCGTTTTGTCACACTGTGTTTTTGACATGCTACCATTGTGATAAAAATACACACCCACAATATGAACTTCCCTAGATAGGTAACAACCTTCCAACTAATTGTAGTATTTGGAACTGGATATGCGGAGTGACAAGAAAAATCTTTCTTATTATATTTTTGGAAATTTATTCTATAGGTTCCAGATATAATTTAGCTCATAGTCCAACAATAAAGTCCAAACTTTCTTAAAATGTAAAGTTATAACCTAATGCTCGTTCCTGCCATAATTAGTCAAAATTAGCAAATTCAAGGTGTATGAGTTTCTCCTGCTGAGCTCTAATTACAAATCCAGTCTTAGGTTACAAATGCTTTCTTAAAATATAGTATTTCTTTTTTTGATACTTAGAATCGAGTATTTCTTTCTAAAAGCCAATATTTCATAGAGACTCAGTTGCATGGAGACTATTAAGTAGGTTAAACTCTTACCGTTCAGGAACAGTCACTAGAAACCCATGAATGTGAGATTTATAAAGATAGAGTGTCTGCAAACTGGTGACATCACTATATATATATATAGCCCATGGGCTGTGACAGAGCTTGGGAGCAAAACATTACTGCTTCTAAATGGGGACAGTAAGTATCTAGGCCCTATTGTCTAACTTACTGGCCTAATGATACATGGGATATAACCAAAGTAGGTCAATCTCAGTTTGATCTTATCTTCAGAGTTAGTCAAATATTATCAAAGTATGTTTTCACTATCTTTGACTTGAAGAAGATGAGAAAATATAGAATAAATGGGAAGAATCTCTGCTGTTGTGCTTTGGCTAATGAATTCTTCACTGCAAACAGTCTTCACTGTACTCACGTGATCATGTCTTCGGGTTCTTTGTTTAACATCTGGACGTTCGTTAGCATCATACACCTTCCTACTTCCTTATCAAGGTGTCTTAAAATATTGTCCATGGCTTTTCGTACTTGAGAGTAATATAATGACATGCCTGAAAAACATGTGCTAGAGTTACATCTTTGATTAAACCTATCAAAGAATGAAATCCTAGTTTATCCATCCTCTATGCTGTGCTTTTACTGAGGACTTTCTATGGGTCATTGACTTCTTCGAGCAGAGTCCAATTCAATCTTTGATCTGCAGGACATTCAACTAATCCTCGTTCCTGTCATAATTAGTCAAAATTAGCAAATTCAAGGTGTATGAGTTTCTCCTGCTGGATCTGTAACAAATCCAGGTCGTAGGTTAAAACTGCTTTCTTAAAATCAAGTATTTCTTTTTTTGATACTTAAAGTCTAGTATTTCTTTCTAGATTAGAGGATGCGCTTAGAGGATGTTCACTAAAATTCATTTAAATTCAATAAAGAGGAATTCTAATATTTCAAAAGGAATAAAGTAAACAAGGAAATAAAAAGTTTAACCTTAGAATTTTTATGTTTCTGGTTAGTACAAGAAAAATCATAATCATTAGTGTCATAACGGACAATTCTCATTTGGGGCAAAGATTTTAACAACTTCGTATTATTCTCTGAAAATACATGTGTGGGGTTCTTTTTAGTAAAATAAAGTGACCTCATATCATTCATTTTTAAGTGAAGGAAAACTTACCTTAGCTATATTGTTTTTACTGTTTTCATTAAGTATAGTGTCAGTATCTTACAGTGGAAGACAAATATGTATAGCATATGTACTTCGTATATGTATATGACCTTTTATATATTTATGTATATAATCCAAATGAAAAGTAAATTGCTTTGCATTTAAAATTTGTACGTTAATGAATATTTATTAATGGTTGTATTTCATGCATTGAATCTTTCTGAACTCATTCAAGTATTGCATACCTAAAGCTAAGCATTTTAAAGCAAAAAGTTGCTCATGTATTTCTTTCATGTCTTTGGAATCCACAACCTATCTTAAAGTTTTCAGCAAGTTTCAAAATTCCATAAAAAAGAAACAATCGAATAAAAAAAATCACCTCTTTGGATTCAAATAGCTAAATTAAAGAAAAAAATAGTCTCATGTGGACTAAATCCACAATATAACCTGGTGTGAATGGGACTTGGCATATTTAAAACACAGATTAAAGTAATTTTACTGAAAAGAAAGGGAAGAAATATAAAAATGAATGAACTAATGAATGAATGACTATATATATGGTGGCCTTATAAACAGGATTACCTACCAAAGGACACAGATGTCTTACTTATTTCACTTACTGTTAACTGTAGATAATCAATACTAGAAGTCTGAAAAGATCATAGATAAAAGTCTAGCATTTAAATGGAAAAATGTTTACCAGAAAGTTCCAAAAAGTTTAAAGGGCAGTAAAACAAAGCCCAGCATGAATCAATCAAAACAATTAATGTTGGAATGTCTCATCAGCAACTTTTATAAACTTCTAAAAAGCGTTTCTCACTAAGGATAAGTATCGGTCTTTGAAACCCACCTGTCATTTTGGCTTCCTCTTCCGTTAGTGTTTTACTCAAGTATGTTTTCTTCACTCTCAGTGTGTTTCCTGATGGGAGAACAGCTCCTGTGACCGGCATGGGAGGCTCACCATCTTTCTGCTGCAAGCTATCGGCTATTACCAAGAAGGCCCACAAACCAATGTTCATTCTCTGTAAGAAACAGTATGTTTGTGATGAAAAGAAAGGCCTGCTATTTGTAGTCAAATTAAACCATTTTAAGCATGGTCTGCCATCTAGATTAGCATGGGGAAAGTAATTTAAAATGCACAAGAGTTTAGGCCAAACCTATGAAAATAAAATAAAGTCTCTGTCACTATTTATTGCTGCGTCACAAGAAAACAACTGGCAAGATTTTCACCAAACTTGGGAGGGTATGTTTGAGATGGTCATACACGTTCTGTTTGGGGGATCCCAGGTGTACCTCTAAAGGACAGGCAGTCATCCTTTGGAGCAGCTGCAACTAAGGTAAACTGAGGTAAACAAAAGGCTCTTAGGTCTCCTGGAGGAAGAGATATGCCATGTGTTAATTCACAAAGACTGAAGGAACACAAACAGGAGTTGCAAATCACAAAATAAAAATCGTCTGCTCTGAACTGCAGGTTGTTGACTTCTTATTTAAAAAGGCTGGAAAGTTTGAAAATAAAATTTAAAAATTCAGTGCCAGAGAACCTGTTATTGGTAAAAACATATAAGCTTGTAAGAAGAAATGCTATTTGGGGCCAGATAGTTATCTTCGTCAGGCTCAGGTTAGGCATAACACTGGCTCTGAAAGATGGCTCAGTAAGACAGCTACTCCCAGTAGCGATGATCTTAAAAAATCAGAAGCTACTAGAACATCTGTATGTACTTAAACAGCCATGCATAAAGCATTTACATTATACTGTAAAGCACACTAATATTTTCAAACCACATGAAGTAATAAGTTCCCATAATAGGCTAATATCTACAGTGGGCAATAATATTACTAGTATTAACATGATAATCTAGGCACAATTTATTGAGTCCCTAAAATGTGTCTAGAACTGCTCATTAACTCTCATCTTTAAAATAGCCATGCAAGGAAGTCATGATTATTCCCATCTTTCAGGTGAGGAAACTGAACACATAACTAATAGGTGGGAAGCTCTTCTTGTCAGGTTTGTCCAAATCACCTATCTTGTGGTACTTGATTACATTTTATAACATTAATATTGACTTCTATTCATGTTAAAACTACAGCTGACCCTTGAACAACAAACAGGGTGCTGACCCCATACAGTTAAACCCCCCCCACGTAACTTCTGATTCCCTCAAAACAACTACCAGTGTTGACTAGAAGCTTTACCAATAACATAAACAGTTGATTAACATATACTTCACATTTTTTCAAATAGTTGCAAATCTCCAGTTTTCCAATATATTTATTGAAAAATTCTGCATATAAGTGGACCTGTGCAGTTCAAACCCATGTCGTTCAAGGGTCAACTGTACTTATTCAAGCTTTAGTAATGATATTTCAACCAGGATTTGGTGAATATTTCTCTGGTTCATTTATATCTGATTCAATGCATATGTACACTTTTATGGTCTTCAATAGTGTTCTTTTTCCATTTTCTAGAAGAAAGAGTATTAACATTAAAAAATTTAACTGTATATTAAAGTCTGTTCACTCCCTAATAGTGTTCTTTTTCCATTTTCTAGAAGAAAGAGTATTAACATTAAAAAATTTAACTGTATATTAAAGTCTGTTCACTCCCTCATTTATTTTAGTAGTTCTTTAATGAAATGTTTCTAGTCTTCTGTATTTTTCTCAAGACACGGCAATGTTTTCAGCGAAGAAATATCATGCTGAGGATAACTGTGGAATGACATAAATGGTCAAGCCTCAAATATTTGTAAATATTATGCAATTTACAGACCATCCTTGCTAGGTCTCCTGGTTTTCCTTCCCTCTGGATAATACTAAGGGCACAAGATGAGGTCATTTTGGACCCATATTTTCAACTCAATTTCAAAAATAATTATTTTTGTATTTTATATAGTTCTGCATCATACTTCTCCCTTTTGTTATCTGTCTGGTCTTGAGAAATTACTGAGCTTTTCCAAGCCCAACTTTCAGCTTCCTTACTATAAAATAAGGATAATAATGCCTTTGATCATAGAAGGGCTATGATGAGGATTTGTGTCATGTTATGAGGAAAGTTCCTGCTGGCAAATATGTATTGTAGGCTAGAATCTCCACTTAATTAAAAAAAATAAAGTCAAGTTTACAGAGATAATACTATGTAGTACAATACACTCCTTTTAGTTGTACAGGTCTTTGTAATATAGTCAGATAACCACCATCATAGTTAAGTTTTAAAATATTTCCGTCATCGCAAAAAGTTCCATCATGCCTCTTTATACTGAGTCCTCTCCCCGAAGCCCAGAACCTGACAGTTTTGCCTTTTCCAGAACATGACATAAGTGAATCAAACAGACACAGCCCTGTGTGTCTGGCTTCTTTCACTTCGCATAATATTTTTAAGAGGTTGCAATATCAGTACTTTGTTTCTTTTTACTGCTGACTACTATCCTGATGTATTAATGACTCATAATTTGTTTAGCTATTTGTCCATTGTTGAACACAAGTGGTTTTCCTAATTTCAGTGATTATGAATAAAGCTGCTGTAAATATTCATACAAGCCTTTGTAGATAAAAATTTTAATTTCTTTTGGAAACTACCTTGGGGAAGTTGTAGCTTTTCGTATTCTTACTAAAATAGCATGAAGTTCCATTTGCTCTGTATCCTTCTTGTACATCTCAATGTGGTTTTAACTTGTATTTCTCTAATGACTAAAGATGCTAAACATCTTTTCTTGGGTTTATTAGTCATTTGTATCTCTTCTTCAGTAAAGAGGCTATTCATTTTGCCCATTTAAAAAACTGGGTTGTTTATTTTGTTATTGAATTGCTAGAGTTCTTTACATAGTCTGAATAGAAGTGGCTTAATCAATATGTGTTCTGCAAATATTTCTCCCAGTCTGTGGCTCTACATTTTACTAACAGTGTCTTTTAAAATACACACTTTCTTAATTTGATGATGTTCAATTTAACAACTTTTTCTTTTATAATTTATGCTCTTTGTGTTCTAAAAAATGTTTACCCACAAAGAAACTCACAAAGATTTTATCTCAATGTTTTCTTCAGGAGGGTTCATAATGTTGGATTTCACATTTAGGCTTATGATTCATTTTGAGTTAATTTTTTGCATACACTGCAAACTATGGGTCAAGGGTAATCATTTTTCAAGTGGATGTCCAACTGTTCAGCACCATTTATTTGAAAGACTCCTTTATTCATTGAAATAACTTGAAACTGTCATTGAAAATCAACTGACCATATATACATGGGGCTATTTCTGGGTTCTCTACTCTGTTACATTGGTTTTTATATTCATCCTTCTGCCAGTACTAGATTACTGTAGCTTTATAGTAAGTTTTGAAATCAGGACATGCTAGTCCTCTAATTTTATTCTTTTTCAAAACTATGGTGGT